CTGACCTCCACCTTTGGCTGCCTCGCCCCTGCCTCTTGCTGGCTGAGCGGGCGGTGGAGCAACCGGTGCCAGGACCATAGCACGAGAACTCTAATGTGTCATGTCGCCCAACAATCTCGGACATAACCTCCTGATGTGACCAGTACCTCCACACTCAAAAAACCCATCCTGCTATTGTGGCTGCTGAAGCTGAAGCTGACCCGAATTGGCCGGATAACCACGATGATATCTCTGAATCAGAGGTGCACTGATAGGAGCTGATGATGTATTGTAGGCTTGTTTTCCAGAATGAGGTACATAAGGACCACCACTCCCCGAAGCACTATGAGATGCCTGAAGTGCTGACTGAAACTACCAAAAGTACCCCTTCCTCCAGATGAGGCACCATTGAAACTACCGAAATGACAAGGCCTCTTATCAGACACCCCCCTCTCCTGAGGACTGACCATCTCGATCCGTCTAGCAATATTTATGGCCCTCTGAAAAGTAATATCATCTCCAGTCTCCTTGGCCAGTTGTAGCCTGATAGTGAAAGTGAGCCCATCAATAAATCTCCTCACTCTCTTCCTCTCAATAGGGAGCAAGATAATGGCATGGAGAGCTAGATCCACAAATCGAGTCTCGTACTGGGTAACAGTCATACTACCCAGCTGAAGTCGCTCAAACTGCCAGCGATAATCCTTCCTCAGAGCGACCTCTAGAAATAGCTGTGAAAACTGATCTTAGGTAAGTGCAGGCAAACCAGCTGGTCAAGTCAACATATAATCTCTCCACCACCTCTTGGAAGAACCAGTCATCTGAAACACTACAAACTCAATCCCATTGGTCTCAACTATACCCATCTTGCACAATACCTCGTGGTAAAGGTCCAGATAATCTTGTGGGTCTTCAGAAGCTGCACCACTGAAATGAATAGGGAAGAGCTTGGTAAACTTATCCAACGTCATCAAGGCATCAGACGACATAGAGGGCCTATCACCGGCCTGTGCCGCAACAACCGGCTAAACCATCCTAACTAGCGGGGCTACTGGAGTCGGATATTGGGAAGCCGCCTTCTCCGAGGTATGAGTAGCGAAAGTCTGTGCTCCTCCCCTAGCCCGAGAGACGGCTAGTGCTTCTGGGAATATATTGGTCTGAGCCAGACTCTCCATAAGGCTTAGCAAACGGACTAGAGCATCCCGAAGTACTACAGTGGCTATGAACCCCTCCGAGACCTGAGCTGGTCTGACGGGTACAGTCTAAGCTAGAACCTCCTTCTCGTGATCAATCTGAGGCTCCACTACAAGTGCTGATGAGCCCTGCCTCTAGCTCGCACTCCGACTCGACCTCGACCTCGACCTCTACCCTTGGTAGTAGCTGGAACAGGGGGCTCCTGCTCCTATCCAGCAATAGATGATGTGTGTGTTCTCGCCATCTGCGAGAGAACAAGAATAGAATGGTTCAATCATCAATGGTAGAATAAAATCGTATGATAGAGAGAAAAAAATGAAAATTTTCTTAAGCTCCATAGCATCGAGAAGAAAAGTACAGACATCGTCGTGCCGATCCTCCAGACTCTACTATGCTTTCTCATGACTCATGAGACCTAGGAAACCTAGTGCTCTGATACAAACTTGTCACGACCCGAAAATCCCACCCTCGGGACTGTAATGGCGCCTAAAATTTTACTTGCTAGGCAAGCCAACGTTAGAAATATATTTTAGTCATTAATAACAATTAAAATTAAATGATAACCAAGAAACTGCATAAACAAAAATAGAGTGAGAAAACCAAAATAACAACGATATATTGATACAATCCCGGAACTGATGTCACAAGTACACGAGCAACTAGAGTAATATGAGAATAGTGAAAAATGAAGAAAATCCCGATTTTTAGAAGTTTAAAAGACTGGGCGTCGGGTGTTCAGCACGTTCATGAGACACCTGACGTGATCGCGAAGCAGCAGCGGCCAAAGGCCTTTGTGTTCGCGAGTGGTTGAACGCGTTAATGATGGTCTGCCTCCCCTGGCCATTGCGTTCGCGTAGAACAAACCCCTTGCTCCCCTCCCAGACCCATTACTCATCGCGCTCGCGTAGTGCTGGTCGCGTTCGCGAAGGGTGATCCCACCATTGCTTCACGTTCGCGTCCACAGCCTCGTGTTCGCATCAAGGAAAATCCACCCCGACCTAGATTACTTTTCACAATCGTGGGAGTATTTCGCGATCGCAAAGAAGGATTCACCAGACATCAGCAGACTGAAAAACCAGCAATAGCCTAAGTCCAAAAATCACTCCGTAGCCTATCCGAAACTCACCTGAGCCCCTCGGGCTCCAAACAAAACATGAACACAAGCGTAATAACATCATACGAACTTGCTCGCACGATTAAAATATCAACATAACACCTAGAACTACGAATCGAACATCGAAATGAATGATATTTTCAAAGAAACTCAAGAACATGCAATTTTACAACCGGGCGTCCGAATCATGTCAAATCACACCATACACCAAATTTTGCAGACAAGCCATAAATACTGAAATGATCCTATACCAAGTTCCGAAACCAAAATCTGAACCCGGTAGCAACAAAGTCAAACCTAGAAATTCTTTTAGCATTCATTTTACTAATTTTCAACAAATTATGATAATTTAAGCTAGGACTTCTGAAGTCGATTCCGGACACACGCCCAAGTCCCAAATCACGATATGGATCCACTGGGACCATCAAAATACTGATTCGGGTCCGTTTACACAAAATATTGACCGTAGTCAACTTAAATGAGTTTTAAGGCAAATTTTCACATTTTTTTCAATTTTTTTCACATAAAAATTTTCCGAATGAAGGCTAACGGAGCTATTTAAGTCTTGGAACACAAAAAATAAGGGCTAAAACTAAAAATGACCTATCGGGTCATCACAATTTCTAGAAAATATTTTCCTACATACCAAACACATCCTTACATGTCGTACACTTTCGAATTCCCGTTTATCTTTAAGGGGACCATGCTGCTAGCTATTTGGATTAAGATTGGATAATACACGAAAATTTAATCGGATCTCCTGAAATTAATGTAGGAATTCCTCTACAAGTTTTCACTAACAGTGCCCAGTTGTGGCCTAAGTGGAAAGCTGCTAAAGCAGCCGCTTTAGGTCCCTTATTTTTTTGGGCTCCAAATTTTTTCTAATAAGTGTATATGTTATTTTGTTTTAAAAAAAATATTTAGTGTTCTAAATGAAAAAGTATAATTTTTCACAGTAAAAAAGAAAAGATTGAACAATTCAACATAATTTGAGAAAAGGAATAGTCTTTTCTGGAATCGCTCTCTAGATCATAAATTGAGAAAGAATTTGATTATTTGTAACTCAAAAAAAAGATTAAAAATTTAATACAATCCCAAAAAGAAAATCCTTGATAAAATTTTAACGAAAAATAAATTAAAAATCCTAAATTAGAAAGTATGTCTCAAGATATATAAAAAATATAGAAAAATGAACTTCTAAAAAATTATATATGAAGTTTTATTTTTCCTAACAAAAAGCTTAAGGCGTCTTATTGAAGTTTTTGCTTTACGCCACCATATTTATTGAGCCACCATCTCGGGAGGAAATGTAACATTTAACATAATAAAAGAAAGTAAAATCACACATTCAGACTAGACTATCACCTATTTTAGATTTAAAAATAGCCAGATTTACAACTGGTCGTTCAAAAATAGCCCAATTTCAAAAGTAATCGATATTTAGCCACTTTTCATGTAAAGATAAATCTGAGCGAAAACACTGTTTAAAACCCGAAAAATACGCCAGCATATTATGCTGGAGTTCCAGCATAAGTATACTTGAGCTCCAACATATTATACTGGAGTTCCAAGATAAGTATGCTGGAACTCCAACATAATATGATGAAGTTCCAGCATAAGTACACTAGAACTCCAGCATAATATACTGGAGTTCCAGCAAGTATACCGATCCAGCATAATATACTGGAGTTTGGAGCATCAGTGCTCCAGTCTCCAGTATATTATACTGGAGCCAGCAAAGTATACCGGTCCAGCATAATATGCTGGAGTTCATACACAGGTGCACCGAACTCCAGTATATTATGCTGGATCGGTCTCTACTGCAGCAAAATAATGGCTATTTTTCATTGACTTGGTAAACGCTGGCTATTTTTTAATGACCAATCCGAAAACTAGCTATACCGTGCTATTTTGTCGTGGGCTGTCCCGATTGCCCACATAGGCAGGCGGAGCCATAAGCTAGCCGACTCCAACTCATGGCGAGTCTTCTTTGATGGCCGAGAGTATTATGTAAAAAGGATCGATGAGCATCTAATCCAATTCAAGTTTGACTTTAATTATCGTATTTGCAGTGAGATGGATTTGTCTCTTGTGATCATTTACCTTAATAATGGGGTGTTGCGGAATTTTTTTTCCTCTTGGTGATTAAGATTTAACCATATCTTAGCAAAAAAAGAGTCATTGCTTGTGCTTTCGCAGTCTTGAAATTAATCAATAGTTCTGAACCTTATGATTACCTACCAATATCTGAACTGTTCTCCATAATTCTCAAAACATCCGTAAAAGGAAGGGCTCGAATGGGGATCCTTTTATACCTTAAATATGGATAAATGATAAATCTAAACTTTAGAAGTTACAAAGAACAGAATGTAGGGACTAATTGGCAAACCATAGAGAAGCATCTAGGTTTATCCAAGAAAAAATTAAATTATCCACAAAAGACATTCACAATACTACACCAAATGATTGCTTATGGAGTCATGACTATGGTTTAGATTATGCACTCCCATTCCCAAATGCCTCCACCTTTCATATTGAACAGTCCCTTCTTGGGCCCATATGTACACCCTTTTGTCACTGTCTCATTTGTTTTTTCACTTTCTTTATTCTTTATTATGAGTGCCATTTTGCCAAAATACGTTTTTCCTACTTATTTATAAACAGCCAGAAATTGCAAAGTGAAGGTCACTCATGATTCATTCCATCCTTTATTGAA